ATAATTTTTTTAATTTGTGCAAACAAAACATGTATTAAGAATATATTTTTTATTTTTAAATTGTGTGAAAAACTATGAAAATAATTTTTATTTTTAATAGTTAAGATTAATTAATTATTTTTAATAAATATAAATAATTTTCAATTATTAAAAATAAAAAATAAATAATTAAAATTATATATAAATATAATATATAAAATTTATATATAAATATATTCATACTGTTACATATTTTTTTAACTAAAATAAATTAAAAAAAATTACAATCATTCCAATAAAAGCTTAAACCTTCACATGGGATAAAGTGTTTAAAAGACAATGCCAGCACACCATGGCCGCTAGTGCTGCTCTTACACATTTATTAATTAGCACACGGTGGTTGGAGAAAAAGAGGACGAAAGAAACAAATATCAATAAATTACGTATAATGATACACCAGATGAAATAAGAAGATGAAATAAGAAGATGAAATCATGAGTTGAATCTAAGTTCACATATCACTTTAGTAAAATATTAAAAATTGATTTCCAAATCCTTATTTTTAGCATCTTCCGTTTGTTGAGGTGACATGCCAATTCAGCATCGGCTCATGATTTCGTCATCCTATTTCGTTCCGTATATCATTATTCATAAATTACAGGTTGCACATAACGACGGCGCAGCCCTCCTCTAATTTGTCATCTTTGAGGGTTTTAGCCCCGAAACTTACAATTTGAGAGTTTTAACCCTTCAAGTATTCGATTTTAATTTTTAAGGACATGCCCCCAGACTCAACGTTTGAGCATCATGTGTCCCACGTGCTCGTCGTTGTTCCGTTTATCCAAGCACAGTCAACACCACCTCAGCATAGAAATAAACATGTGGCATGTCACGTGCTCCAACTTTTTTTTTTTTATCTTGGTTGTATTAAGAGTTAATATTCTTTCACATTTTTTATTTTGTTTTATTTATATATCATATAATTTAAATTTAAATTTTTTTAATTTTAATAAAAAAATTATTATTAAATTAATTAAATCATTGATAATTTGTATCAATTTTAAAACACCTAAAATAAAAAATAAAAAAAAATCAAATCCTTTTATTCCATTTGTCTTCTAGAAATATGACAAAGCACTCCGTACACGAGATCAAAACTCTTGCACTCAAATTTTAGAAGGAGACAACGACCAAAAAAAAGAAAAAGTGTAATTTCGTTAAGTTCTACATAGTTGTGATGCACCAATTAAAGCAAACTACAGTTTGGAAAGTTGGGTATAGTTTTTTTAGGTTCTTGGATTCATTGTTCTATTTTTTAGCATTCCTCAGTACCTTGATACTGATGTTCTGAAATTTGATGACAATATGACAAGTGATAACAAGAAATCGAGGACCTAAGGCATGGAAATGACAAGAAGTTACAAATTGCTCAAGTCAATAACCGAGTCAGAAGACTTGTTTCTCTACAACTTTGACCCGCAAAGGGTCATATGTTTTTATTTCATCAAATTCTATATATTTTCAGCACAAAATTTTGATTAATATATGTCAAGAGATTTACAATCACTAGATCCACAACACCCAAGCATTAATTTAGATGCAAATCAATAAAATTTGATGAATACAAGAACGAATGTTTGGTTTAAAACTCCGTCGACGAGCCTCCACACGCTCTTCAAGCCTTCAACAACTAGTAACTCTTCCCTCAATTTCATTCGCCAAATTTGAAGTTGTTGCATTTGATTTGTTTTGTTTTTGGGGTGGATGCGTAAGAAGG